CAGCTTGGAGGTCTGTACAGCACAAGCCCAGAGTGTTACTCGTAAAACTGGAAGATATAAAACTTCATTCCTGAAAAAGCCCACAACTACTTTGTATTTCCATTTCAAGACCCTCTCTGTGTAGTTTCCTCTCATGACACAGGAATGGAGTGGCTTCTTCCCATGCAATTCCATTATAAGTACAGTAGAAGACTGTTTTATGCTCCATAGGGAAAGCTGGCCTGGTTGTGACTGCTTAAACCGCAGCCTCCGAGCTGCTTTCCCAGAAGTTTCCACCAGATGAGGTGCTAAAGGTTCTGGAGTTGCTGGCACACCTCACTTGCCTTTCTATCCAACACAGTCTGTTCCAAAGGCAGCACATTGTTACTGTGGAAGGGATGACAGGGATGCACTGAGGTGGGACAAGATGACAGATCCCTCCTCTTCAGCTGCAACGAGCCGGAGAAGGGAAGTGTGAGGTGTCACCTTTCTAAGGCAGGTGAAATAGGATTCCAGCTGACAGGGTCAGCCAACAACTCTCCCCCCTCCCCTTTCATTTTAATGGAAGTGCAGCTAGCTACATGCATCCTAAACTATGGAATTTTCTCTTTTTCTGCTTGGCTTTCTCACTAGTGAGAGTGACACAAGTGCCGCCTCCCAGGATTAACAACAGAGCTATAGCTCTGAAAAGTATCTGCTCAAGTGGCAATTTTGCTCTGTAATCAGGAAGAAAACAGACAGTTTTAAATGACAAATACTTGGAAGGTAGTATTTTAAAAACACGGTGCTGCCTTACATTACAGTCTGATAAAAATTTTTCAGCAAGTAGATCTCTTCTTCTTTGCAAAATAAGAATTTTCCAATTCAGTTCCCAAATTTTTCTAGGAGTTGACCACTTAAAGCTCACAGCTCCTGATACAGAAAATCTCTCATTTCTGCAAAGAGAAATGATGGGAGAGAGAAAAGCCCACAAGGCTTCTCTTAGCTGCAAATGTAAAATAAAGTGGCTATCACTGGAAAGAAAAATCACGTAGACCTCTCTATGTATTGGACCTCACCCTACTGATTCAATTAGTATTAAATGTACACAATTATCAAATTGTTGTTAGTTTTCTTTACAAAAAGCTAAAAAACAGTTACCAAAGGACCTCTATGAGCCTGCTAGATGTTACTCAAGAGCTCTTAGTAGATTACTCACAGAGATGTTGGATAAACTGCAGGTCTATTCATCAACCATCACTGATTTATTCTCTTACTGACTGATGGTTTATCAGCCTTGACTCTCAGCTAATATGCAGTTACTCCAATAACTGCAGACATTTGGCTTCCTGCAGAGAACTATAAAAGGCTCTCAAATTAAAAAAAAGAAACATGCATATGTTCCTTCCACATGCAGGAGCCCCTGCCCCATGATCCACATCCCAGCATCACTGCAACCACTCTATTACTGTATGACTGTATCAGGAGATTTTGGGTTTGACAAAGCATGACGAGGGTGTGGAGACATTTAAAATTGACACCACTTGACGGGCAAACACGTTCTGTCAATGTGTTCAAATCCTGTCTTTCAGACCTGAAGAACATCAAGTTCAGGGCTCATCCTCTGTCAGGCAAGAATTCCATTAGGAGTTTTGGGATTTCCCCCCCCCACACCTCTCTGTACTTTGTGACTACCACAACACAGAGCAATCTTTTTAATCTAATACTTGCCCCTCTAGATTATTTGTAGTGGTTTTTAACTGGAAAGTTTCTCTCAAAGAGAACTCAAATTTTTTCGAATTCTTACATTTTAAACTGCAGATGAGGATAAGCATTTGCATACCTGTTTCCAGGTAATTTTTAACAGAATGAAACTATGAAAATATAAGCCTGTAACTCAGAGTAATCTTTAGATAAATTATCAGTCTTGGTTAGATTTCGGAAGGGACTTTTGTCTCCTCTGATTGTCCTGCATTTTACCTCCATCAATCAAGACCTTGCAATGTAATATTTTTATTTCTTTTTCTATTTAGATAAGCAATTAACAGTGTACACTTCCTAGTCGTTGAGCAATAAGCTCTAGGTGCAGATCCATAATGTGATTGTGGGTGACTGCTGTAGATACCACTGCTGCACAACAAACAAAGTGGGACTTTACACCCAGTTATTGCACCAATACAAAATGAGATGCAGCTACAACAACTGGCAGGTGCCAGAGAGGATAGTTGGGAAGATATGAGAAGCAGTACTGAGCAGGAAATAACTTCCTGATTCCTTGTGCAGGCTTCAAAGCCAGCCTGTGTTACTGGAGGAGAGACTTTAATAAAATTATAAGCACCAAAAATCAATATGACAAAGCCTCAGAAATCTGTGTTTCACACTGTGAAAGTTACTATTTTAACTCTGTGCTACAGTGTCTCCATGGAATTGGTTTTAGTGCATTATTTTATTGTGGTTTCCTGAAATTTGAATAGTATGAAACCTTTACATTTTTAAACATGCAGTTTCTTGTTTCCTATCTTTTCTTCCTAGAGGGATTTCCAAAAGGTGCCTACAAAAAAAGGTATGCAAATCCCATGTTGTGGAATAACCTGAACCACATAAATTCAGGTTCTGTTCCTAAATGCTCACATCAAGTCTGAGGGACTACAAGCTCAGAAATTTAGGGAAGTAAGAAATTAGAAAGAATGTTGACTAAATCAACTTATCCCTTATTCATAAGGACTGTGTTATGACAGCAGCACATTCTTCTACCGCCTCAATTTGCCTAAGTTATTCTGTATTAAAATCATTCAGAGTGCTTCAACCAGACTTGAAAGAAAAAGATACTTAGTACAAAAGCTCTGAATCAGCTGGAATATCCAGATTTCCATTTCATTCTCTCTGTTTCCCCCTTCTGCTCCAGTCTCATCTGACAGAAGAAAGCAGTTTTCTGGCATTTTTACTTTTTTTGCCCCACTATTTCTCTGGGCTCTGTGTGTTCTGCCCTCTACTTCAAAAAATGTCTCCTGTGCCTCCGTTCCATTTCTGATTCTGCCCTGCTGTTGGGCTGGTGTCCACTTTACTGTCTCACTGCAGAAGACCACGTTCTGTGTTCCCTCAGGAGAAGAAGAGAAGGATTAACCGTGGTTTTGATACAAATCTTTGCATCACACTTGGCAGGAATTATACTCCAGGTCACCCAGCAGGTTAGGGGTTGAACTGCAAAGTGACCTCTTTTTTGGCAAAGATAACAGAAGTATTTGGTGTGACAGAGCTGCTGGTGGTCAATAATATGTCTTTTGGCAAGTCTAAAGGAACTCATGGAAGGGACAATTCCACAGGGGGCTGCACCTGCAGTGACTCCCCTGGAGTTGTGGGGTCCACAGATAAGTTCTGTCAGGTCTTTACACATCCCACATTTCTCAGTATTCACTGTAATATTATTAAAATACAAAAGTGTAGAGTAAATTTTTTTTTCTTTTTAAGCAGATGCTTTTAAAGACATCTGAGTGTTTCGTATTTCTTTGGCAAATAGTTCAGTGCTGTAGCCCAGCTTCAGGACCTGTAAGATTCTTTTCTTGAAAATGCAAGTAATCCCTCACAGATTCCTCACCACATTATCCTGCCTTTTCCAGTGTTCATTGACTTTCCTTATCTCTAAATTAAGTATTCTATCAGACACTATGGTGGAAGAAATCCAAAGTTACTGTTTCCCTTATGAAGAATAGATTTTTCTGCAGGAACAGTTAAAGCAGAAGATGAACAGAAAGCAGGGTTGGGGGCCTGACCCTGAAGAAGGCTGTGCTTTCTCAGTACAGTATATCTAGAAAAAGGTTTGTAATTGCAGGGAAGAACTCACAGTTAAGCAAAAATATATTTTCAATCACAATTCTGTATTGTCCCCAATAACAGGGAAGAGCAGTTATTTTCAGAATTCAGCCCAAGATTGCCCAATGATAGTATTTTCCAACAAGCAAGTCCCACAGTCAAGTGACACCCAATAAATCCATTGCTTCCCTCCATCCACCCAACTGCTCGACTGCAAATGTGGTGATTGTGCATTTTCTGATATTTCCTAAGACTCTGCACAGTCATCTCTTCTAACTTTTGTGCTGTAGTTTGACAGCAGCAGCTCTGCTTTCTGTAAACAACCCGCAGAGCAAACACAGCGAGCAGCCCCATTAGCACTGTTTGCTTTGCCCTGTTTGCTGTTCTGCCGCTCCCAGCTCCCAGCCCAGGAGTTCACACTCAGCCCCAAGAGGTTTCAGAACAAACCATACAAATGTGTGCAGCACAGAGAAACCAGTGGCCACTGTTCAAGAAGGTTCTGTCCCCTCAGATCCACTTCTCCAGAACTATTAAAAAAAATTGCTAAGCCCATCCTTTTTAATCAGCTGAATTAACAGGCTGTTGTGAGTTACAGGAGCAGATCCACGTTACATCATTGGTCAAGTGCGGATGACACTCTTTCAAAAATCCAGAAACTGTTTTCAGGAAAGTACAGCACTTGTAGTAGATTTATATTAATGTAAAATTAATCCATCTTTGAGTCTAGTTTCACTTCAAAATCTCAACTAGAAAATAAATATAATGCATATAAGAACTTTTAGTGATACACTTGATCAAAAGCAGTGAGGTAAACCTGAACCCTTCACAATGACACTCATCCAGAAATGGTTTCAGTTTAGAACTGCTGTCATACACTAGGACTCCTTGTACCAATATTCTACTGCAAAAGTACTTCAACATTCATCTCTGCATTAAAAATCAAGCTATGGGGGTTTTTTTGTATTTAATTTAGAAATATGTGAACTTTAAAATACATGTTTTTGAATGCACAGGCAGATATATATTCACAAAAGGAGAAAAAGAAAAGGTCACTTTGTCAAAACATTGTGTCTTGAGAAACAATATACCTTAAAGGCATCTCATCCCTTCCATCTATGTGTCATTTAAGAGTAAAACACACTGCTACTGATCCTTATCTACTTCACATTAGTTCTGTGAAGTGCCAGCAGGAAAATGAAAATAAAGTTTATATTTTGAAGGATTTCACTTACCCAATTCTTTAGAAACTGGAGAACCAGCTGATATATCCCCAATCTTTGCAAGGCTATCATAATATGCTCTTCCAGCCACAATCATAACTAGGGGTGAGGGGAAAAAAAAGTGTTAAAAAAAAAAATCAAAGTATCTTCCATTTTTATTAATCTATGACCCTATCAAGTCTTGTAATCCAGGGCACAGAGAGTAAGAGAGGAATATGTGGCAACAAGGAAATCTATCATAGAAAGTTACACAAGCCCCTGAGCTCCTGCTAATTTGTGAAACCAGGAGACAAAGACAGAACACCAGAAGACATCAATGAAGTTTCAGCCTATTATTTACTTCCAACTTTCATTGACACCCAGGGGCAATCAGCATCCAGTGGGGAGGTTTAGCCATAAGCCATTGGTCAGGACATGAAGAAATTCCTTGGTACCAATAAAACTGGAGGAAAAAAACAAAATGCAGTCCCAAATTTTCCAGAAATGCCAAGATCTCTTGTACTGACCAGCCAGGCCAGTGAGCTGAGAAACGGCAAGACAAGGGACCTGTCGTTGCCCCAAGGAAACCTGGAACCCTACAAAAACAAATGACCACTTCCTGCTGAAGTTGGCTGTTACAGGAACCAAAAATTTCTTAATATATATCATGAGGGCTCCAGTTATTGCCAGTTAATCATTTCCTGGTTATGGCTGATTGAAACAGCAAAGCCAGTTTTGCCAGAACGAACACGGAAACATCAGGACTCAGCTGCAGGGAGGCCAGTGGGGAGAAACTTTGCTCAGGGAGTAGATCTGCAGTGGCTGCCTTGCACCTGCACAGTGCCCAGAATTGATCTGCACACCACGGGGTCTGTATTTTATAGCTTTTACTAGTAAGGTGGCACCTTTGGTTACACGACAGTATATTCACTGAGAAGTCTGGGAATTTTCCAAATGAAACAAAGATTCTCTTTGAGGCTCTGTAGCACTAGAAAAGGGTAATTTCTGCCTCAGCTCCACCTCGTTGGTGCTCAGTGTAAATCTTTCTGAAGAATTAAGGTGGTGTTACTGTACAAGGAGATTTGATGCCAGTCCAGCTCCTCCTATCTATGTTTCCTCGAGACAGCCCCAACTCACTCTTTCCTCCTAATGCAGGTACTAAAATAGAGGAAAAAAAAAAAAAGTGTGATTCCCCTGTGCTAAACAAACTAAATCAGGACCTCCACTTGTACAGTCCCTTCACTGGTACTATGGCTTTTAATCTACTGCAGAAAAGGAGCTTTGACCTTTTGTCCCTAAAATGTATAAAAATACATTATAAACCTATGGGGAGTTCTCTCAAGTTTTATGCTCATTGCCAGCCTTTTTGGAAAGCTACGAAGTGTTTGTTTAGCAACAGAGTATTTACTTCGAGCTCCGGATCTATTTACACCGCTCAGGACTGATGGTGGAAAGATTAACAATTTATGAGAGTCCAAAGATGACTTTGCAACAGTTGTTGCAACACTGTAAATGTCCCTTGGAAGTGAAGCAGTCGTGGCAGATACGCTTTATCAGCCAGTCCTAAAGGCAAACGTGCCAGAACACGACACCCCCACCCTCAGCCCCGACCTCTCCTCTGGGCTCTGGGTGAACTCCTGGTGACGAACTGCATTAAAAGAGGCACAGTGTAACATGTCGACAGCAAAGTGGGGGAGAAGCAGAACCCTCAGAAACTGGCACAGAAATCTTTCAGATGAATAGGAAAACACTTGTTGCTACTTCTGGCACTGCCTGCAGTTCCTTAGGTCAGGTATCAGGTAACCCCATGTTCATCCATCAGGTTAGGCACCACCACAGGTAAGTCAGCATTTCCCTGTTTTCATCTCCAGCAGGCTCTGGTTTTATCTTTTTCTCAAGCCTGGCCTAAAATTTGCATGAAGAGGGATTTTAATGTCTGCTTGGCTGGGCACTACTCCTGCAGGATCACATTTCTCAGAGCGCTGGATTACATGTAGGGCAAAGACATGCCACGGGCTCGAGCGAGGCAAAATTAGAGACATTTTACATGGCTTTAATATGATATCAAGCAGCTCAACAGGTCTGCATGGGTGAAAGGGAGCAGGCTCTGACAGGTCCTGCAGTGGAGGCTTTGGGAAACAAGAGCCCAGTCCTGAAAGCCCCTTCCTAGACAGTGTCTGTGAAGTCAGCGATGGAAGTAAACAACTGGATTCTGAAAAGTCCTTAAGTTCAATTATATTCATTCTGATTTTGAGTCAATTAGAAAGATACCATCAGGATTAGCATGGACAACAACAACAAAAGCAATCCACTGCTGGAACTCATATTCATTCACGCTGGTCTGTTCACAGGGTTACTTAGGCAGTGACGTGTGCAGGTGAGCAGGAACAGATCTAAGGATGTGAGGCATCTTTGGAAGATATTTTCAGAGAAAAAACAAGAACATCGAATTTACATCACTTTGGGCTTTTCATTTATGTTATTATTTAAACCCACTTTCAGTTTATTTTGCAGTAGCTCAGTGCCTAACTGTTGTGAGGCAACTTCCTCAGGACAGAAGAAAAAACCCCAAAAGGTTGGGGAGAAGGCACATATGTTTGTGTGTTTGTGCTTGTTGGCTGGTTTGGGTATTTTTCTCTTAATACACACACCCAAAGTTCAACTTGGAAATTAAACTTATACACAACTCTCATATCTAATATCTATATTTAAGTGAAAATTAAACAATCTTTCTAAAGTTAGCACTTAGAAAACTTACCATTTACAGCTTTTTCATAATTCTTCCCCAGATTTATTAAATTCCTCAGTCCTGGATTGAACTGTTCCATAACATTCTAGTGAAGAGAAAACAAAATTTGTGTTATAACAAACAGTGCATGGAAGTATCACTTAGGTCTAGTTTTCGGTTTCATATGTACAGCATCCATCTGAAAAGTCTGTGGATGGATGAAAACTGCTCTTTCGGATGTCTGGAACACATGTAGCATAAACAGTGGGATTCCAAAAGGAAGATGAGGAGATACCAGAAGACACCATTCTGTTATTCTTACTGTTTTTATGGCAATACTTTTACGACACAACTCACTATTGTTCACACTTGCAAGTTCAAGGAATTCAAAACAGATGCTTTCTGTTTACAAGGAATACAAGGCTCAAGACAAGTGAAATAATATCAAGCTTTTGTCTGTTATACTACTAACAGAATGAAAATATTTATGTTTAGTACATAGATGGACCCAGAAAGAACAGCAAGACCATCACATGTGTCTTATTTTCAGGCAAGGTCATGCAGACAGAACTTAATTTAATTTTTCAAATATAGCACTATATCAAATTCTATTCCATTTAAAAAGTGAAGAAAAAATTAACTCCAATAACACTTTAACAGTCATGTTGAGTTAAAATATAGATATTAAAAAATATATATATATATAAAACTGTTAGATTCCAATGCTGGTGGAGTATAAATCAAAAGCAGACACAGAATGACAATACCTGGCCCCTCTGCCTTTGTGTCCAAATTAAATGCAACTGGGATTGTTTTCTGGTCTGTCCCATTAAACTCTCACCCACCAAAACACAATCACTGCAAACAAACCAGCTATTGTCCCCAGGCCCTTGATTTGTGTTAATTCACAAACCACATCCAGAAATCATTTGGGAAAGTGTGTTTCAGGTTGGGCCAACAATGCCAAGGGCTATTCTAACAACAGCACGGATATTCCAGCTCTGGTGTCTGGGAACATCCCTCCTCCTGCCCCAGCTCTATAATTTGCTGCTGTGCCTGTTGCCCTCCCTGTTGCTGAGGCAGTGACTGGGAGACACTTGTTCCAAGGAGCAAGTTGTTTCTTCCTATTCCAACTTCGTGCTATTTTTTGCCAGCTGTGTACTAAAGATGTCTGTTGGCATACATGGAGTCAGTGAATCACAAGGGGAAAAAAAAAAGTTGAATTAGGGGATTGTTTTAGGATGGAGAGTTCTGTATTTCAAGGATATGGGAAAAGGAAGGTGTATCATGGTGGTGTTTATCTATGGCAGGTAAGAATCCCAGTGCCACCTTGAATTCCACTCTGCACTGAAAATAATTTTCCTGAAGGACAGATGTCAACCCTGCTCCTTGAAACAAAAACCCTTTTTGCCACCTACCCAAAAATTCTAATGGTAACATGACGCTTATTTGTCTTGAAGTACTGATTTCTGAAATGACTTAAACATTCAGAGGTTAAGATTCCAATTTTCTCAACATCTTCAAATTCAGATTTCTAATGAAAAACAGTGACTGCACCTGTGTCATTAGTTTTCATTTAGGAGGAAGTGAACAAACCCCAATAAAATTACCCTCAACGGCTCCCCTCTCCGAAGCCAGGCCCCACAGCTCTTGATTTTCACCAGACCACTTGGTCCATAGCAGTTTTTCAGGTGCAGCAGACACAGACCATGCTGTGGGAACACAACAGCTCCAGTGAAACACAAGGGACTCAGAGGAAGAGCCCCAGTACATCACCTCTGCTCACCCTGCATGTAAAACTGCCGGGACAGATGAAGAAACAATTTACAGCTCAGTGCCTGCAGTGGCTGGAAGGAGTACAACTAATGGATCTTTCCTCCATCAGACCAGGCAGTCTCTGGAAGTGGTTCAGGCTTTGCTGTGCCACAGTGGTTGATTGTTAGCAGAACCAGTCTCCAGACGTGAACGCCCGAGAAACGGCACAAACCTTTGCAATGGAAATTCCCCTTTGGAACCTGCCTGGTTTAACACAGGGTATGGTTTGCTGATCCTCACAGCACTGGGCAGGGCTCGTCTACTTTCCTACTTAAGGGCTGGTGTTTGATAGACTTAGCTCTGTTTGACAGACTCAGCTCTCCCTGACCCCCTGCCAGGTCTCTGAGGTGACCCAATGAAATAATTCTGAGATTATTTCCCTTTCATACATTAGAGAGAAGCGTAATATGTGTTTTTTTTTTTTTAATTTCTACTGAAGACTAGATTATCAAAGCAAACAAAAAACCTGGCCATGCTTCTAGTGCTCTTTTCATAAAATTAACCACTGGCAGTCTCTGAAGTACTGTCCAGGGAGAAGCATCTAGAGCACTTTTTCAAAAAGGGAAGCTGTCCCAGGCAACTCTCTCTTCAGGATCAGGTATGAATTTGATATGGCCAAGACATTTCAGAGCAATTAAAATTATTGTAATATTTTATTCAGCTTCACAAGTTACAGGGGACAAGAGCAACTGAAATCAATTTGTACAGCTGCTTTTTCTGACAGTTTTAAAGCTCCTCTTACTTGTAGTCTAAGGAAAAGGTCATGAAAATGAGTGGGACTGAACACCAGTGCAAAATTTCAAGTCACACATTAAAGCCAGATCTCAAAACTTCCAAAAAAGCAGGATAGAGGACCAAAGAAATATTTCTGATCAGGAGAATCACTTAATATTGTCAGAAGTCTCTGAAAATAACACAGTCTCGTTATTTGCCAGGGTGTACAAAGACATGGAAGTAAAACCTCTGTCTTAATCCAAATAAAGATCACCAGGTAAGAAAGAGCCTGGGAGACACAAAGTGGTTCAGAACATATTGTTTGACTGTACAGTGAGCACAAAAACACGGCCTCCTAATTGTCAATCGTGTGTCCTATATTCCAGTGACATTCTACCTCTCATGAACAGAATAATTAACGAGAAGAGGAGGCACATGATCAGATCCTACAGCTTTCTATTATTTAGGATGAATGGAAATAAAGGGAAACATTTTCAAAACAGGCAACTGGAAACATGTTTGATGCAGAGACCTTTAGAGTTGCCAAAAATGACCTTCCAAGCAAAAAAGCACGAGGGAAACCTATTCTGGTCATTTGAGTCATTGAAACCTCATATCATCCTTTCTAAAGTTGCCTTTCCCTACAGGAAGCCACTGTGAGTTATTCAGCCTGGTAGCACAGAGCTGACTGAGGAGGAAGAAGCCTTGTATTTCCACTTGCTGTGTGTAGGTATTCTATCTCCCACAGTTCCTGATAGTCATATAAACAACACTAATCTTCAAAACAAATGACAGCCATTGTAAAAGTGCCTTCCTGTAAATGCTCAGCATTGCTTTTTACTTAAAGACACACCTCACTGAACAATAGCTCAGCAGGTATGAACACAACTAAACAATGCATAGACTCCCTGTAGATTCAAGTTTACATCCTGCAGGCACTTTTGCAAGACTGAATAGCAAAGTATTTGGGTAGAAATCTGAAATTATAAAACTAGCAAAGTCCATCTTGGTGTGCATCATCACTGATATTTCCATCGCTGTAGCTGTTCATAGCTAACCTTTGTGGAGCTACTAATGATTTGATTTAAAATGTTATTTCTCACATTGAAAATTAGTAAATTTTTCTTTAAAGTCATTAGTGTTCAAAAAGACTAATTCTTACGACTAATTACTAATTGTCTTGATGGAACAGTTCTTGTTTAAAAGAAACATTAATATATCATCCTGTGTTTCAAATACAAACTTTTCCAGGCTACGAACACCTGCCCAAGAATAGACTCTCAGTAGGCATTACTACAAGTAAGGTCAAAAGAGGTAATTTGCACTGAGGTGGAATTGGATTTTACACACACACACAAACTTCCAAAGGCTCCTCTTCCCACAAGTTAGATTTAGATTTCAGGGATGCTAAACAACAGCCTGACTGCAGCATGTGCTAGGACCACAGGTGAATTTTAGTTTTGGTAAATAGGCCTGGTAGTTTAATCTAATTGTCAGTCTTTTTAAAATACAAAAACACGGAATTTAGGACTTCAAACAGAATTTATCAGATATATTTCCACGATAAAACAATACAGCCTGCCAAAGTAATTCTACAGTACCCCTGAGGAGAACACAGCACTCCACTGAGCAAAGAGGTTATTTGGGCGAGTTGTTTTGGTTTTTTAGATTATACTTTGGTTGATAAGCGAAATATCTGGGTGAGATTCACTTTAGTACAGAGCAATAGATCTTTAAAAACCAAGATTAGCAGTGGCAATGAATCACAGCTCTCCTGCCATTATGAAGAGCTCCGGAAACCTCAAACCACGGGAGCACTCCGCGAGCGCCTGCCCGGCCCTCAGCCCACACAGAGGACAGGTCTGGAGCTCAGCACTTTCCTGTTTTGTCCCCTTTCCCCTGCACTCTGTGTCTCCCAGCTGGATGCCAAGTAGTTTTCCCCCACGTACAGCAGATAAAACAACGCTGTACGGGCTGTGGGGACACACCAAGACATAACAACTTTCCCGGGGTTGCAATTCAAGCCCACGCACGAGGGGGTCACACAATGTCCCCTCACATCATGTCACGTCACCTGGGTGAGCGACAGGGGCAGGGCTGTGTCATACCAGGGAACCTGTGAGCACTTTAGTCATCGACTCCCACACCCTTGGGCTTCATTTTGCACGTGCCATTCCTATCGTGCGTGAAGGGCGATTCTTCAGGTGTTACATAAAGGGTAAATGGCAGCCCTGGGTTTTGTGTGTGCACACATATTTGTGAATTATGCTGTTTACTTAGTCAGGGTAGCTGAAAAACATTGAGGTATTCACTTTCTGGTGTTGTTGACAACAGAAAGGAAGAACAAGATAAAAATAAAAGGGTCACCTGATGACTTCTGTAAGTATATTTTGAAGCTTTGTATAACACAGGTTACTATGTATTTAATAAATCCAATGGATTAGCACTGTAAGAAGAAAAAAAAAAACCAAACACACAACAAAACCCCCCAGAAATAGCAGACCAGCAAGGTACTTAATTTAATTTTCTATTACTTTTCCAGGTCATCCAAAAGTTGATTTTTTTTTGAGAAGTCCAAAGCCTGTGTTCAGCCCTGCAGCACAGATGCCATCACTGCATTACACTGAATTGGTTTTCCCAGACTGAGCCTTTCTTCTTACTGGTAGGAGAGGCACAAACAGAAGCTGTGAATTTTATCCACCCCAGCAGGGCACTGCCAGGGTGGCACAGCAAGAGCAGGAGCTCCCTGAGCACCACCAGACAAAGCTGAGCAGGCTGAAGCACAGCACAAAGAGGTGTTCATTTGTTTTAGATGGGGGAGCTGTGATTACAGTCACAGCCAGTGCTGAATACACAGGCTACTCCTCTCTGCCCTGAAGAGGTAACAAACTGTTTTCAAGATTTCAACTTTGGTGTAGAAGTAACTGCTTTAAAGTGGACGCTGAATCCATTTTCTATCTGAAGCAGCCTTTATACCCTATCTGGATGAAGTTTCAATTTTTAATGAGGGCAGGGCAGGAGGGTTTCCAGGCCTGTGAGTTCAAGCTATGTGATACAACATACCAGACCTCTCAAAATACCTACATAGAAGGCATTTCATCACATTGTCAACATTAACTTTGTATTACTGTGTTTTTGCTGGTTATTTCAGTCTTAAGTATCCCTTTGAATTAGTTTAAAACACAAAACAAAAGGGTAAACTTTCCCAGGAAATAAGTACTGAATAGCAGGGAAGGTTTTGCTTATTTAGAGGTCTGTTATTCCCTTAAAGCCTATTTTAAATCATACCCATTAAAACACACAGGATATTTTCTTCCCTCTCCTCTGTAGAACTGTTTTAGCTACATTCTCGAAGTCAATAGACAAGGTAGAACATTCCTTTGTTGGCACAGCCCTGAACAGTCAACTTCCCAGGCTTCTCTTCTGTGAAGCCTGTGTTTACAAGGTGCTCTTCTGAGAGAGGGTTTTATGTTTACTTATGGCCTTGCCATGAAAGTAACTGATATCAAAAAGCACCAGAGTATTTAAGATGACCTGCTCTGGTTCAGAGGACAACATTTATAGCCAGGTAATCTCCTTTTTTTTTTTTCCTAAGTAATTTTGCATGAAATTGATATCTAAATTCAAAGAAAATAAACAGCAAGGTAAAGTTGACTTAAGTGTGTGTTGAAGAACAACAAAAGTAACAAACATCAAAATTTACTCCGAGTAAATGTTTTCAGAGACCTTTCAGTGATGACAACAACATCTTCAGAAGTATGCAAACCAATAAAATTTAGTAAATAGTAAAACAGAACAACCCCCTAGAAAGTTTTCCTTTGGGCTCAAAGCTGCAAGTGCACTGCAGCTGTAAGTTAAGTTTGCAAATGCATTCAATCATGCAAATTTGAGTGCTTTCTCTAGTACAACATACTGTACAGAAGGAGGATTATGGATCCAATGCTGCCCAGCCGAAAGTATGATTCTAAAGGGAATTTTGCCCAGTTAGAATTGATGTGTTTTGGAAGGACTGAGTTTATAGGGAGAAAAAGTTCAAAACAAGCGTCTAGTGGCCGCAAGCAAAATATTTTTAATTCTACAAATAACGAGGCATTTTGGAAAGTTTAAAAGCGAATTTGAGGCAGTGCTTGGGTGCACCACCATAAATCTGATTATCAGCTCGGGACGTCGGTGAGCAACTCAACTCAGCGTTAAGCCATTTTTAGGCTGTGGCCCCTGTGAAGAAACGGTTCAAGCAGCGGGACCACAGCCACCGGGATCTCCAAACCGCCTTATCACCGAAACACACCGAGGGAACCAGGGAGAACCGAGGAGCCGGTCCGAACGCCCGCCCTGTCCCGGGGCTGTCGCGGCCGTGCCCGCCCGGGGGTTGCGGCGGAGCCTCGGCCCTGGCGGGGGACGGAGAGCGGCCTGACCACTCACGGAGAGGGAAACGGGGGGAAAACAGGGAAAAGAGAAGTTCTCTGCCTTTCCGCGCGAGGAGCCGCGGCCCGCCGGGGCAAAGGTGGCCGGGGGAGCCCCTCCCCGGACCGCACTCACTTTGTACGTGTTCTCCGTCAGCTTGTTCACCTCCTCGGGGTCCCGGGACATGGTGCCGGCTGGCTGAGCTCGGTCCTGCGGAGCGCCCCGGCCCCAGCGCAGCGCCGCGGCAGCCTCGGCTCCCCCTCGGCCGCGAAGAAACTGTCAAAAACTTGCGGAACCAGCCGGGGCAGCGCCGCCGGGGCGGGACCTGCGGGGCCGCGGCTCCCGACGCGGCAGGACTGGCTGGGCTGGGCGGGGAGCGACGGGATCGCATCACCGCACCGCGCCTCGGCTCGGCGGGCACGGCACGGCTGGGCTGGGCTGGGCTGGGCGGATCGCATCGCCCGGACCGCCCGCCCGCCGCTACCTGAGCTGCCACCTCCTCCCTCATCCTCCTCCCTCCGCCCCGCTTCCCTCTCCGGGAGCCCCTGCCCCGCTGCCAAAGCCCATCCTGGGCCGTGTGGAAGTCATTTCAAGTCTGCCGGTGCCCCAGGGAAGCCGGAGGTAAACTCTTCCTCCCAGCAATTAAGTGAGGATTCTGTAGGAATTAATTAGTTGGTCTTGTCAGAGTTAATTAGTGTAGCCCTAGCGATGCTGCTGAGGCAGGGGGTGGTCTCCTTGCTCTCTTCCACAGCATCTTCACATGAGGGGGGTTCCTCAGAGCCCCTCAGGCACGGACAACAACGTCTTTCTCCCGGATCCTGGCCCAGTGCACTACCCGTGCTATACTCTAAAGTTTTCCATTTCTTTCAAGTACACACCCATAAAACAGTGCCCCCAGTCATCTTTTCTCTGTGAGCTGACTCACGAGGCCTTCATGAAGCAGGGCTGGTGAGGAAGGCTCTAGGAATTTGTAAGTTTTTGTGGACCGTATATTGGCCAAAGATTTTGAGATTAATTTAAAGTGTGCTAGTTGGGATATCTTTCTGATAGAGTAATACCAGCACTATCTTGAAGGACCTTGTGGGAATTCCATAACCTTAGGTACTGAAAACTAGGATTGGTGCTGGGTGTTGAGTGTGTGAGGTGCAATCACTGCACTGACACACTGGCCATCCCTCTCGTGGTTGCTGTCTCTCCCTCTGATTCCCCCACTTTATTGCAGCAATAAAATCATGACAGGAAGAGAAAACTGGACTTGGAACACAACCCTAGATACTGGACTCTGGTGTGGGAGGAGATTGTTACCAGATTTCAAGAGCTGTAAAAATGTTTTCATTTGAGCATTGGAGGTGCCTTTAGAATTACAATAACAATTTACTATCTGGGAAAACAGCGGGCACTTAAAGTGTTGTCTTGAATGCAGCTAAAACTCAGGGCAGAGAGTGGGTTTTATGAGACTTCATATTCCCAGGTAAAGTCTTTGCAAACTTCTGGTAGGTATGATATTAATTGCCTTTCAATTAAATTTATAATGTTATGCTAGAGGCATAATGAATTATTTGGGGCCCAAGTCAACAGTTTATGATTCCATTAGGCAGTGTTTGCTCATACAAACAGTTGTCTAGAATATGATGTGGCTGTTTGCCTGAGCATGAGGTGAAGAGTCACGAGTCTTGTCTGAAGAGTTTTAGATCATGCCTGTGTACTTCTGCTTTTGTGTTACTATATGCTAGTACTTGGAAAGGACCTCCCTCCCTAACAACCTGGCCTTGGAATTTGAGGGAGCAAGTACCCAAAGGAAGGTGTAGAATAGGAGTTTTCCTTCCCCAGTTCTTGCTAAAGGAGCTGGGAATGTACTGTATAGCAGACAGTGTTATTCCTGTTAGGGACAAAGCATTTCTCCTTCCTCTGAATACTGTGGAGCTCTGGGAGCTCACCCGGAATTCAGGGTGTTTGTTTCCAGTTGGCACACTAAGTTCAGTCATAGTAAATGACAATGTAAGTGTTAATGAAATATGCATATCAGACAGAAACTACATGGACAGGCAAATCCAGCTCTTTAAGTATCCAGACCATTGCCATAAATCATAAATTTTAAAATTCCCTAGAAACCAAAAGTCTGCTTGTACTTGTAATACAAATGTAAATATTTTGCTCTCTTAGTAGGGGGTTTTTGGTATTACAGTGTGTTAAGATTAGTGTTATCTTAGATGGAGTCAATCCTGATGTGTGCAAACAACAGGAATTTAGAATGGTGTGATTACTTTTTTTGACACTTACTTTTAACATATACATGTTTTCATTGTCCAGAAAGATGAAGAAGGAAGTATTCTTACTTTGGTGGTGAACCCATGCTGCTGCATGTCTGTTCTTTTTACTGTGTCTCAAGCAATAACTGCTCGAGTTCAGGTTAGAGGGAACCTGGCAGGTTAGTAGCTTACCTGGTCCAGTCACCTGTCAGAGCAGGGCTAATTTCAGCATTAAGTTGCTCAGGGCTTCATCCAGTTGAATTTTGAGAGTCTTCAGGAAGGAACAGTTGAGGAACAGAACAGAAAGTTGTATTTGAAAGAGGCTGTAACTTGGCAAGTAAAGAAAATCATCTACAGTGTTATAGCTGACAAGAATTGTTAACATTTTATGTGGGTCTATCCCTGAAGTGTCACCCATCCAGCTGAGCTCCTCATGCTTAACTGACATCCTCTGTGTTGTAATGAGCTTTGATATTAGACTGTGACACGCTGCCTATTGAGAAAACAAAACTCCTTCCTCATTACCTGCCCTGCTGCCTCACATTACGCTTTCCTGACGTCAAACCGAAATGTTTGTAGGCCTGTAATTGTGCATAATTCCAGCAGCCCCCCCTGTTTCAAAGCGATGACTTGGACTTTGGTGTCTCCTGGTCTGCCCCTTGCCGTGGTTAAGGTGCTCCTGGCCCTTGGCAGGTGGGTGTGAACAAGAGCAACCAGGCACAGGCACAGGGGCTGGGCTGGGACTGAGGCCATTGGCACCTGAACTTGGCTTCCCGCAGGTATTCCTGGGAAGTGCCTGCTCTGGGCCTGGATCCAGCAGTTCATTCCATGTTGGCCAAGGGTAGAATCACATAGATTTAGCAAAACTGCTGTCGAGGGACTCACTCAAAATAAATGCTTATATTTGTTCCCTGCAGAAGGCCAGTTCTCCCTTGCAGCATTTAAGTTTTGGAACACGAGTAGCAGCAGTAAAAATTTCCCCATGTCTTGTCAGCCTTATAGAACTGAGATTGAAATGAGAAAATTGTATTGTTGATACAGCTTTTGAAAACACAAGTACTCAGAAATATTCCTTTGAGTAAATACATGTATTTCTTTAAAAACAGTAATGTTTTGACCTGTGATTGTTTTCTCTATGTGTCCTGTTTGCATGTCAGTGCCATATTCAAACCTTCTTTGGAAATGTTTAAGCATGCTGGAAAGACCCATTGATGTCAGCCCATCATTAGATCTTTAACATGTGTTTGAGTAGCTTAATATGACTGTAACTAATTACATAAATTGTGGCTAAGCAGCGATCACATATGCATGGTACAGCCAGCTGAGGCCTGTTTCATTCCCTGTGGTCATTAGCAGATGTTTAACTTGATTAAGGAAAAAAAAAGTGTACACAGTGTGTTATTTAGTGTTGTCAAACAACAGAGTTAGAATAACACTTTCTGAACAGGAAATTAAAGTGACTCTACCAGCTTGCTTTGCTGATTGATAGATATTTTTTATCCTCTGTTGACACTTAGAAGGAATTGTTCAAGTATTTTAATCCCCTCCAAACTGACAACACAAATGCACACTACAACTCACATAAAGCGTCACTTGAAGAATTATATAAAACTTTTGAAGGTTTACTGACCGTTTTGGTCTAAGTCAGCTCTGGATAATTTAAAGGATTTACACCATTTTTAAATTGATGCAAGCGAGCACAAAATCATTTTGTTCCCTGCTGTTCATTGTCCTGAGCTGGTTTCAAAGCAAATGAGCTGTAACTCAGACTTACAGGTCAATAAGACACTGACATCTCTGGTCAAGGAAGACACTTAATCAAATGCCCAATTTAAACGTGTAATTAATTCACTGTACTTTGGAGGGTTGAATCAAAGAAGTCCAAGATCCTTTTTATTAACTCCTCTTTCTCCAGACTAAAAATAGGATGATGATTTTATCTTGGAGATGAGTGCTTTGGATGCTTGTGCTTTGTGTCTCAGTTGTCTCATGTTGCAAATTATTTTGGCAGATTTATGAGACGAATTATATAATCTGATTTCATCATTGTGGTTTGGGTTTTTTTGAGACTCAAAAAGAATGTATGGTATGGAAGAATGTTTTTTTAAAAAGCTTGTTGTTTGTTTTTTTTTGAGATTGCCTGGAATATAGACAAAATTTAACATTCAAGGGAACCTAATAAGCAGTACTGCTAGCTGGGCTAATAGTTTTCTGCTGTTAATTGAAATGTTTAATTCAAAACTGTTATTCCCACACATTCTGTGGCTGCTCATTTCTTGCTGAAAGTAGCGATGCTTTAATTCGCGTGCTATGCCCACTAGATGGCAAGCGAGCTATGCACGATGGAGGAGAAGAAACATCATCTGTGTGCACAAGGCTTTCTCGAAGTGCTTTATAACGTAACAGGATAGATATTAGCGGTAAGCAAATGAAACAGCGCTTATATTGCTCAGACACAGCCTTGGAATTTTTTCTCAAGAGTCTAAGTGCTGTTTGTATGTTCATGTTATTGAAACCTAAATATGCCTTGGGATCTGTAACTTTATTTTGGAAGTCAGCCCTAGCAGCAAGCCAACATCCGGCGAAACTCCTGTTATAAACTCCTAATCTATTTAGGTTCCAGCGATTTATGACTCACGCTGAAAACACGGTATTTTAAATACCTACCTGTTTGTTATCCTCCCTTTTGTCATTTGTCAGCTGGGGATTAACTAACAACAGGTGTGCACTGCTCCAGAGGGATAAACTGCCTTTGCCTGGGGCTGAGTGTGGAGAGTGCAGCTAAACACAGACCTGCACACTGCTGGTGTTGGTCATGTCAGTGCCCTGGGTATGAGAACCAGAGTAGGAATTCCCAGTGTTTGTTATGGGGTGGAACATTAACCCTCAGGTGGAATGTGATGCTGTTGCTGGGCTGGGAACTCAACGTGCACCGGGTGTAAAGCAGCACTTCCGTGAGTATTTGCAGATCATAACATAAATTTTCATGCTGTACTTTTACCTCTTCGTTTTCCCAGCTAGGAAAAGGTAGACCAAGTACATAATACTGGTAGTTTGATTGTACTTTGAAAGTGGCAGAACTCCTAGAATGTCATTTCCACATGGCAAAGAAACTTGCAGCTCATTAACCCCTCTATTTTATGCAGCC